AGAAGAACCTCTTCAATATCTAACTCAATATGCGAGGAAACAGAATAGAATATAAAAGGGAAGTATTATTGTCCCATGAATCATAGAACCAGTCAAATGAAAACAATGTGGCATATGCACCAGCCTTCCATAATCCTCTTCGATGAACATTGTGAATGCTGCTTTCATATGCTTTTCATTACTGCAAGCAATCTTTAGAGTCAACAGGGCTTTCTTTGAAAAACTACTTGAATATTTTCACTCAGTGTGAGAATAAGAGAGCACAATTTAATCTTTTGTGTGCATCATTATAGTTTTGCATGAGATATACATATTTCTTACATTGCTTTATGTGCCATTATGTGCAAATGCGGGGTACATCATGTCCATTTCCACAGCAAATGTTAAGAAATTAAGATTAGCTAAATTTGAACCTATGAAGATAGCCACACATGTATAATTCAATTAGCTAGCCAACACTTAATAGCTTTAATACTTGACAGGTGAACATTCAAGTAAGAATTGATTTATGGGACTTTTTACCAAAGATAGCTCCTTTTCTAGACCTCTGTGATGCATTCTTGTAATTTAGCACTGTTTCCCCAATGCCTGATGACTTTCGGAAGTTACCAAATGGGAATCCAGTGGAACTCTGTTTTGTGAAAAAAAATCCAAGACACTATAAACATACCTACTGCAGCTGAGGTAAGCTACATGTGTGTTGTTTGTGTGTCACTTTGTGCATGTTTGTATTCAGAGTCCACTTTGCATTATACCTCTTCTCAAAAACATTTCTATTCTTCAGTGACTGTAGAAGTCATTCAATGTAGGGAGGAATCTATACTGAACCAAGTCTTATGAATCAGTTCAGTTTGGGTTCTGGTGCCTCATCCCCATGTCCCATGGGAGACACAAGTTTATTTATCCTATAGCTGAAACAGCATGCCATGAAGTGTTAGGTGCCATTCTTTATGTGCCATTATGTGCCAATGTTGGACCTCCAGAGGAACTGGTTGGCCACTGATTGAGACAGGATTCTGGACCACCCCTAATCATAACCCTGGTATTCTTTGGAGGTCTCCCATTCAAATATTAGTCAGTGACAACCCTTGCTTAGCTTCTGAGATCTGATGAGATTGGGCTATCCTGGGATATCCTGGTCAAGGTGTTTTATGATTTGACAAGGGTAAGTTGGATGTCAACAAATTGAATGAAGTATAGCCTTTACAGTACGCAAATAGTGACTATAATTGGAGTTACATAGATCTCATCTAAACGTCCAGCTTCAGGCACAAAATTAAAATGTTTTTAATATCTAGGTTTTTAGTGGAATATATATATTTTCTATTTCAGATTATCTCTGTTTTGTTGAAGTGGATGTATCATGTTCAGCCATGGCCATCCACAATAAAAATGCAGGCTGCTGCAGTGTCTCATATAAACATTAGGACTTATCAGGCCCTCCTGTTCCTACTACAATTTCTTGTGTCCCCTGGAAAAAAACACTGTGGAAGAGGGGATAGGTGGGGTAGACAACCTTCCCCCCCATTCCCCACCAGTGGCCAGGGTCAAGCTACCAGGTACTGTCCCAAATCTTCAAATGTCTTAAGCCAGAGTTGGCAACCCTAGCTGCAGTAAGGTGGAGACAGGAAAATTACATTCCATAAGCAAAGCTCTGATTGTAGTACCAGGATCCAACCCACTAAGAGTTGAAGGTCAAGTTGTTATTGAGACGATAAACCAGTGTTTGGGTTGAACTACTGCAGACTGTAGGTAGGGGCTCACATAATTGAATGCCCCTCTGTAAAAAAAACCCCAACACATACCTCCACGTAGAAAAACTACGTATGGAGTTTTTCTCCCCAGCAGGTTCTTTTTTTTTTAATGCACAGACAATGTATGTGTGGGGAGTAGTCAATGTATATGACTACCAACTTCGAAATGTTGCAGGCTATACTAACAACTCAATGAGAACTAGGCCTTCTTGTAATTTCAACAATGGTTTTGGTGATGGAAACACACTCTTGTTTCTTCACAGCAGGCAGTGATTGCAGGGGGCCTACTCTGTGCTTGTTACGCTTTCTGTTTGAAATTTCCAGTGTTTAGCTCCTGGTGAGGATAATTAACCCCTAGTCCCCTACACTCTGTACAGCCTTTGAAATTCAGCTCCAAATACAAAACTGAATGGTGAGTGGGGAAAAAGTTACCTTGAGAACAATTAAGCTTTTCTTAATACAGGCGCTTTTTAAAATTACACTCAGCAACACAGATGCACTGTTATTTGAAAAAGCAAAGCTGTCTTTGATAGGTTTAATAGGAAGGATTTGTTTCATTTGGTAAGCAAACAGTTTCATACTTAAATCTTAGTATTTTATGTTCATCTGTCATTTTCATGGTCCTCTAAATTTTGTTCCCTATTGAATTGTCCTGGAGGAGCCTTGCACCCTTGAAAGACTCTTTACCAGCACTTTCTGAAATGGGGGTTCATTCCTTGAAATCAGCCTACCAGTGATTTAAATTGAGACTTCTTAATTGAAAATTTGCTTCCTTGAGAAAGTCTGGATTTTATATACAAATCCAATACGTAAGTGAGGGGAAAAAAACTAACCAAGCCTTCTCTCAACATGCTAATTCCAAAAGTGCAGGGAGTTTTAATTAATTTCTAACATGACAAAGATTCAATCACTCTCCATCAGCCTGCAACAGATACATTAAATGCAGGTATTCTGGCTTTTGTGGGTTTCCAAACAAAGGCCTGCAGTAGTTTCTGCTCTGTCCCCCTTCTGGGACACCCTCATACACTTCTGTGGAGGCAGCTGGACAGGCAACCTGGCTAAGGATCATTCCTTTCCCCTTCCCATTGCTAGTGGTGTTTGTTCCTCCTCTTCATTACTGCCATGGATTCTCATACACCTACTGGTTCAGCCCTTGTTATGCTCACTAGTCTTCTGCCAAGACCAAAATGCCTCTATTTTGGCTTAGCACCTAGCCTGACTGCCACTGCTACATCTGGACTGGTCTCCCTGGGCCTAAGTCCTGTTCATATAGGGAAGGTAATTTGCACGAGTTGCCCCAAGTACATTTGGTAACAGTTCATGCAGCAGGAAGTCACTTTATCAATTGGCCGTTCAGCTGTTCATGAGCAGCTTTAGCCTTTAATGAGGTTACTCTTTCAAACGCATTCAAACAGAACCAAAGTCAGAGAATAATCAAAGAAAGTGTACTAGAGTGTTTGGGAAAACACTGGAACAAAAGCCTCTCAACATAAATATTTAAGTCACCATGAAAAGCTTAAGAAACTCTCATTAGCCTGAAACATAATAACTAAGGTCTGTGCATGTACTGATTTTATCTCAGTGCTATCTATACTGAGTTACCTCAGAAATTTTACCCCTGATTTCACCTGACATTTTGTCTCTATGTTGGATGAAATATTTTGTTAATTTGGAATAGAAACTTTTTTTGAATGTCATTTAAGTCGTATAAGTTAAAGGGGGCCCCCATTCCTTCCCTCAGTTTCCTGGGCTGAGCAAACAGCCAAAATATTATACAGTGACAGGGTGGGACAGCCAGAATAATTCAGGAAGGAAGAAAACAGACAACTAGGACAAGGGAAAGAAAAACGGAAGGAAAATCTTGCCTCTCAGGGAGAGAAAGGGAAGGGGGTCATCGTAACTGGCTTTGACATCTTTAATCCTTCTCACAGATTCTTTCTTTTAAGTGCTTCATTCAGGCTTATTTCCAGCCAATGAAAAAAAACCCACAGGTTAAAGTAGCTAGAGTTATGTGTATTTGCTATGAATAACTGCCAAGTGGGAAAAGGATTATGTAGTCGATCCAGCTAACTGATTCTCCCTTGCAAATAACCTCTCCTGTGTTAGCGTGATGCCATGTTTGCAATGGAATCCATACTTTTATTTGGAAATGTTCCTGGGTTGGGTGAAGAAGCATATCCTGAAGCTTCTTGCTTTCCAAGCATCTTTGGGGCTGATTTGGCTTGTGGCCATGACTGTACCCCCCTGTGCTAGCTAGAAATGACCTTGGGGTGCTATTTGCCCCATTGTGGAAGCATAATCTGAAGTTAATCCATACACATACGGCCCCCAATAGGGAAAATAGCACCCCCAAAGCTATTTAAGATCAATAAAATAATGTGGGTGAAAGTATAAACACCCCTCCATGGACTTTCATCCCAATCCAGATTAGATCTGCACATGCCTGCAAAGGGAACTTTAGAACACAACTTTCTACTTGTCCCCAGGATGCATGTGTGGAAAACATAATGCAAAGATAGTTCCATCAAAATAGAGGGACAAAGAAAACATTGATGCGTGGTATGTAAACAGCGTGGTACTTAACATTTTATTTTGTTAGGTTACATAGATTGCCCAGCTGCTATGCATATCAAGAAGAAGAAGAAGAGAAGAGATTGGATTTATACCCCGCCCTTCACTTGGAGTCTCAGAGCGGCTTACAAACTCCTTTCCCTTCCCCTCCCCACAACAGTCACCCTGTGAGGTGGGTGGGGCTGAGAGAACTCTGACACAAACTGCTCTTTTTCAAGGACAGCTATAGCAGAGCTTGTGACTGACCCAAGGTCACATCAGCAGGTGCAGGTGGAGGAGTGGGGAATCAAACCCAGTTCTCCCAGATTAGAGTCCGCACACTTAACCACTACACCAAACTGGCTCAGCATCCCAACTCCCATACTCATGGCTAAAGAAACTCTCCAGTTGTCCATTGTATCTCCTGTAGGCAAAAATGATATGTATTCAGTAACTCTTAACATGATGGGAATGGAAGAATGTTTCCATTTTCTTGAGCAAATGAAACATTGATTAATATACAAGATCTGAACAAGAGCAACTATACACAGCTACCCAATCTTGCTTTTAATCTGCTTGTTTTCAACAACGGACACTGAGTCTTGGTAAAAGTAGATTCTGTTTATTAACACTGTAATAGAATTTACTCTCTTTAAACACCAATAAGCAAAATTATTTTCATTACCGAGTCAGCAGGTATGACATTAAGAGCGCAGCTACTCACAAAAACTGCTTTGCACATTGGGATTACTGCCTCCTGAGCTGCAGCCATTAGCCCTGAAGAGTCCTGGGCTCCTTTAGAAGCCTTATTTGTTACACAATAAACCAGTCTGTCTTGTACAGATATGCTGTTTGTACACAATATAGTGTGCCTGAGTGTGCATTTAAGTACAATACCTATACTGGAGAGAAAGTAATTGATTTAAGAGAGATGACAGCTCAGTGGCTCATTTCATACTTTCACAATATAACATTTTCCTTCCAAAGCCTCTCATTTTTGCCTTTCTTCCACGGCACTGCTCATGTTAGCATTCCATCCATTTACCTCAAGCATCCAAAACAGCAAGGGACATTTCTGAACAACCGAATGTATTCCTCCTGGATCTAGGGTGAAAAGAGGAAATGATCATGTTGCCCTATTAGCCACTAAATATATACGTATGTTAAGCAACTTTCCAGTGGGACTGGCCTTGGAAAATATTAGGAGAGATATCAAAGAGACTTTCAGAATTTGAATTTACCTATTAACCCCAATCCATAATTAGATTATTACCAATGGGGGGATCCACAAGGACTTCCAGGGGGGCACCTAATCCCCCTTCCCCACCATTTCTTTCCCCCCCTTCCTTGAAGGCCCCCATAGTGTCTCCCTTTTTATTGCTTCCTTCTCTCCTTCCCATCTGCTCACTTTGGAATGTTCTAAAATCCAGGCCTTTTTGACTAGCTCAAAGATTGATTGCACAGATTCCTCAATACAAAACTGAGGAATTTCCCCAGGTTTTTATGTTTGGAGTTGGTTTGGAGACTGCAAATGCCTATATCAGAGCAACAATTTAGTCTTTTTTTAAAAAAATGGATGAAACATACATTTCAATAGGACTGTTGTAAACATTGTGAACATGAAATTTGAAGGATGCTGTGACTCATGTGTAAGTGCATAAAAATCAATAGCATTTTTAAGAAACAGAAAGTACTTACTTTTCGTGACAAAACACAAAGAAATATGAAGATGAACAGTCCTTGAAAGGCATTAAAGATTGTGAAAAGATATGCAGTGACCACTGATCCCTGGATAACATGGAGCACTCCAAAGATCCAGGTAGCACCAAGGAGAAAGAGGAGAGAAAGTGCCCCTCGTGCACAAGATCTAGGCAGAAGCAGGACAAGTTATCAACCAAGCATCCTTTTTTCCTGCCCAATGAAAGCAGCAAATTTTCAGCTGAAAATCCCTGGAAACAGCACTGCAATTACATGGTGCCTTCTTTAGGGTGTACTGTGGTGCTACTACCAGAATTATATACTCTTCCCTTTCTAGCAAAACATTTCAGAAAAAGTAAAATTGGATGGTTTTTAAAACACTGGCTGTCTTAATCTTCAAATCTGTTTTCTCTGGTGTACTGCAGAGCCATATGATTTGATTTTAAATCTACTGTTAGTATAATTCCCCAAGGTAAAACATATGTCTGTTATGAAGTATACCCCCTAAGAAACCTTGGAAAAAATGTATAGTATGCTCTTAGGTCAGCACATGTGCATGACATCAAAGGGATCTTCTGGCTGTTTCTCAGTTTCAGCCTTGGAGATACTGCTGGCTGTAAAACCAGACTTTCTCTTTATATTAAAAGGATTTTGCTTTTACAACACAAGAGAGCTTTAAATTGTTGCAGGGTCAGAATACTGATGCTCTAATAGCATACCAATAAATTGGCTGGGTTTGGGGCTTCTCCCCCCCCTCCCATTTTGTTATTGCAAACACACTGTATTAGAAGTATATACAGCCCAGCTCATGGAGTCTAACAAATCGCACCATGTTGTCTTGTGAACGAGCTCACTGATTAGTTTTTTCTTTCATTTTTGGTCCAGCAGTCGCTGGACTTCTTATGCACAAGGGAACTGTGCTCTAGCTCTTTTTTCTTTTGATACCATTGTTTCCTCAAAAATGAATATTTTTTTGCCTTCATTAGAAGCAGTGCACTGTGTGAAGCTGATAGGGCAAGCAGTGGAAGAAAAGTGATCAATCAAACAATTGCTAAATTCTAACTATAAATCTAGTGCAGTGAGTTGAAACTGCAGGAGTGTTTCTAAGCAACAAAAACAGTAAGTTGTTTTCAACGGTCCCTGTAGCACACTCCAGCTTTTCCAACACAAACGGTTTTCAAGGTCTCTATAAATCAGTTTTAAAGAGAATGAGTTGATGGAAAAATCATAGCAGCACACAAAGTAAAAAAAAATCTTGGGAAAAGAAAAGATAAAAAACAAAACTGATCCCACATTTCTATCTTCCCCAGAAGAAAAGTGAATCACCCAGATACCAGGTGAAGGTAAGTATTTAAGCCCATTCATTTCAATGGGAGAACTGAGGACATGCCTTACTTCTCCCACTGAAATGAATATGATTTGAACTGGACTGAGAACCAACTCAGGTTTCTCTGTAAGAAGTGTCATTCTTGATTGGAAACAACTATTTCAATCCTACTTGAAGCATGGCTTTTAAGAATTAGTTTGCTCAGTCAAGAACTGTAGAATTAGAGCTGTGCAGGGCTTATCTATAATACTCAGAAGTCCATTTCATGTTTTATTACATTTTCAGAGTACCAGAATCTAGAGGAATTTCAGATCAGGTTTTACTTAGGGCTTGGGTAAAGTGGCTAGGCAAGCTATTATGAAGGAATGTTTTTTAGGCCCAGTATTCCTGTATTTATTCATACTTTCTTTGCTTAAAAGGACCCTCAGCATATTCCTGAGTGATTGTGGCATCTTACATTATCAACCCCATACTAAATTTTCTTGGGACATTTTCCAATAAAATTAAAATAATTTAAAGAGACTTTTAAAACATTTGAATTTGCAAATTTATTTCGGGTTCTAGGGTATTGTATGCAGTGCAGAGCTCAATTCTAGACAGTAAAACCATGATCCTGAATTATAAATGCCACCAAAGTTCACTGCAAATATGCTTAGATAGAGGGAGACCACGTTTTGGTCAGCCAGGGCTCAGCGATAGCGTGTTCTCTTCAGGAGAAGAGAAGCCTTGTGTAGCCAGCCTTGAGTTAACAGCTGCTGACTGGCAGGAAAATGAGCTGCAAGCTTGTCAGGATTCACAGCCAGCAGCTGGTGCAGAGCCACCAACACTCCAGCCCTGATTCAGCAGGTGAACCTCAGATGACCATTCTCAGCCCACCAGTATCACCTACACTCTTAGAGCACCACAGAAAGAGGCACAGAACAGAGCCAGAGACAAGACAGCAAAGTGCATGCCTCCTGGGCCAACGCCAGCTACTTGCTGATAACAAAGATGAGTGTAGTTGCAGGACTGCTTCCGAGCAACTGGTTGCAAGCATGACCCTTAGGTGTGGGACTATAAAACCAACTAGGCAAGGCTGTCAGGTGTGGATGCTAAGCCATGAACTCTGCCTTGCCTGATTTCTGACCTTGACTGAATTACTCTGCTTTGCCTGACTCCAGGACCCCTGATCTTGGACTGAATGACCCTGCCTTGCTTGACTTCTGGCACCTGATGCTCGGAACCTGCAAGCCAGTATACCAGGTCACCTGTTCTGTGGGAGACTTCTTGCCCTCTACTGGTTCTTCCTGCTGCTGCTGCTGTCAGGGGGAAAATGATTGGGGAAATGGTTTGTGTGTGAATGAATGGTGTTCTGCTGATGTCATTACATCACTTCTTGCACAACCCAGAACTGATGGCATCACATCAAGCAACACTCTAACATTTCCCCTACATGATGACATTGTTTCTGGGTAGTGCCAGACATTACTGGTAAGGCCCTCCTCTAAGCTGAGTCTCCCACTGTTTACCAACCCTACACAGATATGAGTTTCTCAGAAGTATTATGAGGAGAACTCTAGCAGCCCCAAAGCTGTTTAATCATAATTTCAATTATTACTTTCAGAGAGCTTTTTTTTGGGGGGAGGGACTACCTGAATGGTTTAAGTTTCTCTTGGTCTTGGCATGAAAAATACATCTGCTATATTTTTTAGAATGAATATGAAATTTATAGCTGAATGCGAACATCCTTGTATATCGGGCTATTACTGCACTTCAGCAGTAATTTGCATCCGGATTTTCCTGTGTGGACAAGAAAATTCAGTTGAAAATGATGGCTATAGTGCAACAACAGCACAATATCCAATTATGGGTAGATGCTTTTTGGTGGTCAAAGGGGATCCTTCCTTTTTCATCAGCAGAAAATCAGGTTGAATCTAACCATATGCAGGCACAAAGATCAAACAAGCAGTTTAGAGACAATTTAGAATGCATGGACAGGAAAAGGTTCTTGGTTTTCTTTTGCAAGCATTCTTCAATTACATTTAGTCACCGCAGAGCAAATTTCCAGTTCAGTCACAGATAAGTTAACTTATCTCATGTTGAGCACAGTACTGTCTATATCAATACCTCTTTGAGAAAAATCTGATACAAGATTAAGACAAGGACTTAATATAATATACTTTTTTAATTAAAAAAAATGATCAGGAGGCAGTTATTTCTTAACAAAGTACTGCCTAGCACCAAAAGTTCTAAATGTACCACAGTAAAAAACAACAAACTTGAGTTGAAGCTGAACTTACCTTATATTTTCATAACAGCTCACTTCTGGTTTTAACATGGCTGTTTGCCGAAATACTTTATAGATAATCACTCCAAAAGCCATCAAATTAACCTGTATATTTAATTTTTTCATGTTAGAAAGATGCAAATTGGAATAAACACAGCATCTTTTGCATGTATAGCAAATACATTAAATTTTAAAAAATGTTAAGAGGAAAGGGTGACACTGACCCTCACATATTTGCTTCCTTATGTAATTGTGGTTATTTTAAATCACACTGTAAGCTGCTTTGGGCATCTTCTAGAGAGAAATGTCATTAGAAGGTTTTAAATAATTTTTTTAAAAAAAATATTAAAAGAGGACTATAATAATATAGGACAAAGCCTAACTCTGTATACATTCAATTGTATAACTGATAGCACTATTCAAATTTTTATTAATTCAACAAGTAAATCTCTAGATTTCTCGACCAGTGTTTACCCCTAAATATGAGTGCCAACTTCAAATTTATATCAACCAAACCAATATTATACAGAATATGACCTCATGGCTGGTACCTTGCCTGTTTCACCATCTCCTGAGGTGACTGGTGCATACTGGGAAATTTACAGAACCATCCCAAGCAGATTTACTCAGAATCCTACTCAAGTCTACTGAATGGAACTTGCTCCCAGGAAAATGTTCTTAGGATTGTGCTGTTAGTTCCAAGTCCTCTTGGTGTTAGGATTTCATTGTGGAAATTATTTCGTACGTTTATATTTCAGCTTTCTTCCCAGGCACTCAGAATAGCATATAAGCAGTGGTGGACTGGGATGAAAAAATGGCCCTAAGAAAGGCCATTAGATAGAGGGAGCTCCTGGCCCTGGCCCTCAGAGGAGAGCTTCATTGTTCAGGGCTTGGCTGGGTGCTCTTCTCCCCAGGCTGTGTAAGGCTTGCCAAGTCCCAAACCTCTTTTCTTGTGTTGCCTGAGGCTCAGCTGGGCTGCACACTTCCTTCTTTACCCTGTGTGCAGCAGCTGCCTCCTTCCCTGCACAGGGAACCTGAGAGCAGGAACCCGACTGAATACCTTATTCCTGATTTTCAAGCATGGTGACAGAAGGGGTCCAGTTTCTTCTTTGTGTCTCTACCATATAAGATTTCAGATTATACTGTTTATTTAATAATGGAGCATTTCAAGCCTGCATCAGCTTCATCCTTTGTGGGGAATTTAGGGGAGAATTGGAGGTGATGAAAACAAAAATTAAAACTGTTCCTAGTTTGCAAGCAAACGGCCACAACACAGAAGGCTTTGGGGTCCCCATGGGATTCCCAGTGATTACACTTTTAATAAGCAATATTCTGTGCTGATTTACCAGCACAGAGCTGAGTTTAAGACTGATCATTTGGCAGGCTCAGGAGAACTCATCTATAGATTGTAGTTCTATACTAGGCGCTATCAGTGGGTGAGAAGTGCAATATATTAGACATAGAAATAAAAGGGAATATATTGTCTAAGTTTTTTTTTTAAAAAGCAACAGATGAGTACAACAGTGAGAACACATAAAATGAACATGCTGCTGTAATGAGCCAACTCAAATTCATATTGTCTGAAAGAGAAAAGACTTAGACTTCCCAACATAAATAAATATTTACTTTCAGTGCACTGTCTAAGCGCAGTGAGGTCTATGGGCTTAGAAGGGGGTGATTCAATGTAGGATGGTTGCAAAAATGATCCATTTGAATACCAGTCATTCTACAGAGTGGACTCATACCACTACACACGCACATAATGCATGGAGTGAATCCAAATTTGAAACTTAGAAGAATTTGAACCTGGATTCTCTCCAGTTATTCTGGTGGTCCCTGGCTCCAACCATGAGTACTATGGGATTGGAACTGGTACTTGTTTGTTAAACTTTTCCAAACTCCTTGATCCCAAAGGTATTTGCCAAGGCATTTCTCTGCAAAGCTTGCTTATAGTCTTTGGAAATATTTGATCCTACAACTTTATGTGTAACAACAAAAAAGTAAAATACCTTGTAAATGAAAAGCTATTGAGCACTATGCCTTACAAAGAAATCTATTGATGTGCTAATGGTATTGAATATGTTTATAGATGGAGAGAACAACAAGTATGAATCAGTGCAATTCTAAGTTCCTTCAGAGAGAATCACAAAATCATATGATATCCTGATGTGTTAGATTTTGCATTAGGATCTAAGACTGAATTATAAGGCATCCAGACAGCTCCATATTGAGCACAAATCTGAGGAATGAAAGTTATGTCATCTAGGAATGAACCACATTTTTGCAGTTTGCTTCGTGGTTCATGGCTGAACGATGAACCCACATGAACAGGGAGGTTGGTTTGCAAACTGACCCAGTTCATATCAGTTTGTGGGCCATTTAAAGTTTAAACCCTTGCTTTCTTCTCCCTGCTGCTTTTTGCCATCTGAGCCATTTAAACCAAACAACTGAGTGCTGGGGAGCTCAGAGCCATTTAAATCCCTACTTTCTGCTCCCTGTGGCTTTTCACAGGAAGAAGAAAGCAGGGGGCCATTTAAACCAAACAGCAGAGCTTTTCTTTTGTGAAGAGCAAAAAGTAGGGCTTTAAACCCCTGCTTCCTGCTCTTCACAAACCACCACAAACTACATCAAAATTCATGGTAGTTCTTCAGTTTGCAAAAATTGCTTCATAAACCATGAACCAGCCAAAATTTGTGACAAACTTTAATTTGTTAGCCGGTTTGTGCCCATCCCTAATTTCATCCCCTGTTGGCAGTTTGCCAGCATCTTCTGACTTATCATCTAAGGTGCTCATGTAACTCTTAAAATGGCAAATACTTCAAGTAGGGATCTGGCCTACAGGTGAGACCAGGGGACTCTCCAATAGGGATGTGCATTCGGTTTGGATGAACCAAATGCACCCCTGAAAATGGCCCATTTGGGCCCCTTTCGGGCTGCTGCGGGTCGATTCAGATTCTCTGATCTGAATCGGCTTGCTGCCGAATTGCCGCCGAGATTCGGTGGCAGTTTGGCCCCATTATATCCTATGGGCCATCGAAGTCAATGGTGAAAACATAGGGTATATTCTGGGGGCTGGAGGGGAGGGGGTTTGAGGGAGAGGTTCCAAATGTGCAGGGTAGCTGCTGGAGCCTCTCCCCGAGATACCCACCATGTTTCAAGACCATTGGACTGGGGGGTTCAATTCTATGGGCTCCCAAACAGGTTGCCCCATCTCCTCCATTGTTCTCTATGGTGGGAAAAATAGTTACTTTTTCCCCACAGTGGTGTTAGTGACTCTGGGGGGAAGGGGGTTTGAGGGAGAGGCTCCAAATTTTCAGGGTAGCTTCGGGAGCCTCTCCCCACATAAACCCCTGTGTCCCAAAGCAATTGGACCAGTGGGCTCAATTCTATGGGCACCCAAACAGGTTACCCCCATTACCTCAAGACCAACGGGGGGCAGTTTCAGCCCATTTTATTTATTTATTTATTTATTTAGGCATTTTTACCTCGCCCTCCCCGCAGCCTGCATGGTTGGTGGTGTTGCTTTGCACACCACCTTCCTTGCTTGGGAAGGGGGAAGAGAGAGTCAACTCTATCAAACTCTACCTTGGCCTGACCTACTACGTCCCTGGAGTTTTGGTTTCACCATCAATTTACACAGGGAAGGGCCTGTATAAATGTTTCTTTTGGTCTTTTGGGGTTTCTATGTGGCACTGTGGCATGCTTGGAGGGACAATTGACAATGCAACAGTTAGGGCAGTAAGGGAAGAAGAAGAAGAAGATAAGAGATTGGATTTATACCCCGCCCTTCACTACCCAAAGGTGTCTCAGAGCAACTTACAAACTCCTTTCCCTTCCCCTCCCCACAACAGAAACCCTGTGAGGTAGGTGAGGCTGAGAGAGCTCTGACAGAAACTGCTCTTTTTCAAGAACAGTTCTTATCAGAACTACGGCTTGCCCAAGATCCAGCCAGGTGCAAGTGGAGTGGGGAATCAAACCCGGCTCTCCCAGATTAGAGTCCATGCATTTAACCACTACACCAAACAGGAATTCTGGAAAAAGTAGTTTTGCAGGATTAAGTAAGTCTGCTAGGATGGATGGGTTGTTAGATGATGTTGCTGAGCCCAGGTGCTTTTGGTTGTATGTGGCCATTTATGCCTCTGTCTCATTTAAGAACCTCTAACACAGGGGTGTCAAGCACAGGGGCTGGAATTGGCCCATCCAGAGCTCTTATGCAGGCCACAAGCAACTAGTGCAAGGGAGGTAACAAGAGACTGTTCCAGGGGTGGGGGGTGGGCTGAGCCACTCCAATTATAGATACGCCTGCCTACCTGAGGGACCACCTTTCCCCATATGTGCCCCAGAGAGCACTGAGGTCAGGGTCACAAAATCACCTAACTCTCCTTGGCCTGAAAGATGCCAGACTGGCCATCACGAGCCAGGGCCTTTTCAGTGGCAGCTCCACACTGGTAGAATGAGCTCCTGGAGGGCATCAGGGCCCTGCAGGACCTTTTACAGTTCCTCAGGGCCTGTAAAATGGAGCTCATCCACCAGGCCTTCGAATAGGAGCCGCCACTGACGAATGAGACATCGAACATTGAACATACTATGGCCCTGTGGTTCATCATTGGATATTGCCTCTCTTTATTGGACCATGTATAGTAACCGCCACTATCAGTATTATTAGCACTTTATGTAAATTGTTGTTTATGTGAATTTTATTGTATTTATTGATTTATCGAATTTTACCTGTGTATGCCACCTTGAACCAGTTTGCCCCAGCATAGGTGTGATATAAATTGAAAGTAATAAATAAATAAATAAATAAATCTTTCAATGCCCACCATTTCCCTTCTCAGATTGTCCCACCACATGGGACACCCTTTTCAGAGTTTCAGATTTTTGAAGTATACATTTTAATTCCTACATAAGAAAAATCTTCTTTAGGGAGGGGATTTAGAAGGGGAATCAGTGACCGAAAGAAGGAAGGAAGGAAGGAAGGAAAGAATCTATGCATCTATAAAACACACAAGCTTGTCCTTGATTCCACAGCTGAAAAGTTAGACATTGTGGTTATAGGAAAACACTGTTTGATGTTTTACGGAGCAGTAGAATACACTGATGTT